AATAATATCAATATAATCGGCCACAATTTCTTAGAGATGTGTCTGTAGTGTAGTGATTAATTAACCATTGTTCTTGCGCCCAAACCAGAGTTCTAATCTTCCCATCTGCAAAAAAAAAAAAAAAAAAAATTTCGGCCACTTTTTTTCATTTTGGTTTCTGGCTTTTAAAATTCTAAGTCCGGTTCTGGTTTTATGTAATCTATTTTGTAGCTCTCATCTGTTGTGATTAAATGTTTTTTTTTTATTTCTAACTAGATCACTGGATACAATCTATATGTTATATTGTAATTTGTCTCAAACACTCCCACGACAGAAGATAACATGTGTTGATGTTGTATTCACCGTCCATGATTTACCTATTTTCCCCATTTGAAATCGATAATAACATTATGTTCCAATTCTCCCTAAGCTTGCATCTGATCTGATCTGTCCTTGTGAGTTGAGTGTTGTTCTGTAATCTCACATGTCGATGACAAGAAGCTTAGATAATAAACAGAATTCCTCTTCCATGTGGAGCGAGAATATATGGTACATGAATTTCTCCAACACTCTTCAACCATCTGAAACATACTTATATGGAGACAATGTCATTGCATTGCAGAACCGCATCAAGAGAGGTAACTGAACCTAACCCATCAAGCATTAACCCCCACTTACATAGAACATCAGCACAAGACTTATCATCTATACAGACCGTTTGTTGCGATGATTCATCTCTAGTCTCTTTTATTTTTAGACTTTGGTTTCAGTTTCAACAAATAATTTATTTGGAAACTCTTTCAAGAATTAGTTAACTATCTATTTATTATTTACGGCGCGTAATAACAACTGAAGATCTACAACACTACTTAAAACTAAGATTGTACCGATTTGATTTACGGCGCCTAATAAACTTCTTGCATTTGATTGAACACTAAACTAGTGATTCGTTCTTTTCATTAAAATATAATATACATTTTCTAAGAGATTGATGCCTGCACACGACATGAATCGAATATTTACTATTTAGCAAATAATGATGCACGCAAATAGCCAACTACGCATTAAATTAAGATAAAAATTTATATTTACTTGTCACTTAGTACACGTCTTCAGCAATCAGAGCTTCTTCGAAGAAATATCTGATCGATGGGTGCTCTACCAAATTATTTTTCTAGATCAACTGATTTAATTAAAACCAATATTAATTTTAACTTGCATCTAACGTCAGTGTTCTAATTATTAAATCAAGAATCATTCAAACTAATAAAGTAACCGATATTCGTTGTCCTATTACGTAGAAAAATAGATTGTCCTTTTAAAAGATTATAACTTCGCAAGTACACACATAACGAGTCTTTCAAACAGTTACAATTGAATAATAATTCCATGTAAAACAATATGTATTGCATTATACACTAGTTTTCTTGGTGGTCAAATGTAACGATGAACCACTTAGTAGTTTTTTTGTTAGAAAATATACTTGCTTTAAGAAAGCAACAATTTCAATATTGATATATAACAAAATATATAATGGTTACCCATGCCATTTTCTATTTTAGAAGCCATAAGTGGAAGAAAGATTGGTGGTACAGATGTCGAAGTCTTGTTGAATAAATGTTTAATCAATTTGGATCAACAAGCTAACCTTACCTGGCGTGGATATCTTTATCACCCACAACACTAGATAACACTATCTCTTCTTCTTAATAATTCATTTAAAATTTGAAAATTAGTTTTATTTCGTTTAATAGCTATCCTCCATTATGATTACATTTCATATACCATGATAACATGTTGCATGTTATGATAATAAAAAACACAACAAAATAGTTATTAGGTGACCTGAGTCTGGAAAGAACATTTAGGGCAGGGGGAATAGATATCCTATTAGATATTTTTAATAAACTCTTCTGTATATGCATGATCATCATTTACTAGAATATATGTGTACTGTATACATCCAAATACAGTTCCTATAGAAACAACAAATACTATATACAGAATGAACTATATTTCACTTACTATCATCAGAAATAGTAAAAACAAAACTTTTTAGACCTCTGATGAGACAAACAAGAATAATAATCGCATTCACATTATGATATACTTACTGACGATTCTTGATATCAGTTATTGCTAGGGTTTGCATTTATCATTATGGATATTGTCATGGTTGGTTTGTTAATGTAATAAATAGCATATATATTTGCATTTTTATAGCTAATGATGATTAGTATTTAGTGCAATGTAGAAACAAAAATAATTAGATTTTACGTTAAAATCATATATATATATATATATATATATAGATATAGATATAGATATATCCAATTACATAGCTAGCATTTTGTATAGAAGAGAATGACAAATATAATCTAAGTTACAACTCTTTAAGGAAAATCCCAACTTGAATGAAAACGAATGTATAGTTTGCTCGTATTCAAGTAGCGATGTTCCATACTTAACAAAAACATATTACCAAAATTAGGAAACATACGAAATGGACAACAAAGGCAAACCTTTTTCTGCTAAATATAAATGAAAGTATAAATGACATGGGATAAGCATCTAATTATGGAGTTCCGTTGGTGCTGGAAGTGACATGTGTTTACACAACTAAAGGGGCTTCCAACAATTGATGTTGGATCTTTAATTTAAGCTTATCATTCTAATCACGCATTTGATTAAATATATAACCTGCCGACTCCATTCTAATATATATTATAGATGTTTTAAAGTAAAAGCCAAATATGACTTGATGAAATGTTTATTTAGAGATTTAGTGGGAAAATTCAAATCAATCTTTACACCAAATCTATTTGAAAGAATAAAATCTAAGTCAAGAAATGCCACCACTAAAATTCACCTATTCGGTTCTTGGTAAGAGTATTCACAATTCAGTGAATTCACATATTTCTATATCTCCTACTTATTAAAACACATATCAAATCATCAAAAAGACTCATTTAAAAATTCAGGAATTTAAAGCAAAATCATTTTCTCAAAGCTTGGTTATTTTGATCAAAAATATGGTTGAATTATGGAATCTATAAAGTTCATTACCATTTATTTTTGTAGGTTATAAGATCAACATCAAGTTTGTATAAACAAAAGAATACATCTATATATATATATGTATATATCATAATGTCCATGTGTATGCCTATATATATAACATGACAAATTAAATGACTTTTTCACGAATTACATGAATCTTTTTTAAGTTCAAAAGCTTGAGTAATCCCAATGGTAGTTTTTTACATTGAAGTTCTCAAACTATATATTGCTATATATATATATATATATATATATATATATATATATATAAGAGTATACTAGAAATTTTGGAAACTCAACCAAAGTTGAACAATAAAAAGGAAACTCAACCAAAAATATCTCATTTAACATATTATTGATTTGGTTTTCAAGAATTTTATATACTCTTGAGAACTCCATGGTAAAACACTATCATTGGAAAGTGCTCTAAATATGTAATTCATATATTCATTTACGCTTCTTAAATATTAATTACACTATATCATTTTATAACCTTTGGCATGAAATTTCTAGCAAAATATTTGAAATTTAACTATAAATCGAACTAATGCGTGTACTCGCATATGCACGTACCACTACGTACGGTTTGTAAGTTCTTAGGGCATGTACATCAAGGGATGAAGAGAGGTTCATGGCTCGAGTTCAGAGGCAAAAAAGGAAAAAAAAAATAAGAAAATAGGTTTAATTCTGTGAACCGGTTCACTCGAATGAACCCCAAAGACACAGGTTCAAGCCACGTGGCGTTCAGTCATTGGCCTCGCCAAGATTGCGTTTTACACGAAAAAAAGAGGTTTCTCACCATCACCGTCGCAACTATTTCGCTGGCACCGAAGTTCGCGTTCTGATCTACCCGTGGTCTTCTTCGGTGGAGTTCTCGCGGCGGTGCGGCTCCGACGCAGCAGTTTTGGTGCCGTTGAATCTTCCCATGGAGGTCTTGTGTTTGCCGGTGAATCTGTTTCGGACGTCGAAGATGGACCTCGTTGTGCCACCAGCTATTGTGGTCGTTGTACGGACAAGAAGAAGAAGCCTTTTCAAGTTCCTTGATAATTTTGGGCCTCTGGGAAGAAGAAAGCTTTTTAAATGTTGGCCCATTATATAATCTAATTAATTAACCTTTCACAGAATTATCCTTGTTGATTTAGGGTTATGCACATCCATTTTGTAACTTTAATGTGTAATCTATGCAAGGTTAATTAATGCTGGTAATATGCATGGCGTTCGCAATGAACTTCGAGATTCACAGACTCATGCTCGGTTGAAAGCTGATTTGGTCGAAAATGTTTGGCAAAAGTTTGGTAATCAGAATTAATAATCTTTTGTATCTTCACGAATTATCAATGTATTGAATAAAAACTTTTATAAAATCAATAAAAATTTTATTTTCTATGTTTTTCACTTCTTCAAAAATTATTTAATTATTTGTTTGTCAAACATTCTAATTATATTCAATATATATTTTTTTAAAAAAATATTAAAAATATTTTAAAATAAAAAAATATTATTTTATTTCTATGAACCCCAACGTCGGGTTCATTGATGGAAGAGCACATTTGATCCGGGTTCAACACTATTCATGGTCCCACCAAAAAATAATAAAAAAATTTTGTGAACCCCAAAGGGGGGTTCACTAATGTGGTTGCTCTTATGTACGCCAGTATCAAAATGCACCAACAAAAAAGCACGTACGCATGAACTGATAAAGGGTAATAGAGACTACACTCCTTAAAAAAAAAAGACTAAGCAAAAGTGAATGTCTAAGTTAACACCAAATTAAAAAATAAGACAGTGAATGTTTCAACATGTTTTCTCCCCTTATTAAGCAATGCACCACTTAGAACACATCACGAAACAATTAACTTCTCAATTAGTATTTGGTCAACATCTCAACCTAATTAGGATTAAAAAAATTATATCGTGACTAATACTTGAAGTCTTGCTCCGATCTGCTGTGTATTTTTTAATTGCCGATGATTGACAATTATAAACTGTAATCTATTCGAGATTGTTTTAAAATTAATTCTATAATATCGCTTGCTGAAATGAATTAAAAACATAGATAACCCTAAACAAATAAAACTCAAATTTCATCAAGAATACTATATATATGTCTGGTTTTTTTCTGGAATAAAATACATCACTAGTATACATTTTTAAATCATAGATCTCTCTCTTGTTATACCGTATCTCCGGCAAAACCTAGATGAAGATCCAGCGAGTTAATAATGCTTCTCTTCGAATCAGGACGAGAAGTCAGATCTCTCTGGAACTGAATCATGTTTTGTCTCACACCGTACATCTTACCCATATCAACATTTTGTTCATTAAGATCTTGAGACGTCGTGTCCTTATTACCAAAGCTAATCTGCGACGACATCGACGACCACTCATCGTTGAACAAACCCATATGACTATTCGCATGCATGGAAGAGAACGCGCAATACGACGGCGTCTTGTATTGTCTCTGAAACGACGTCGTTTGTTGGTGGCTGGTGAGGTAATAGCCGATGCTAGCTCTTCGAGCTTGAAGCTGAAGCCTCTTCTTCTTCAACCTCTCCTTCTTGTGAGCGTTTTGGTGACCACCCAAGGCTTGAGAATTTGCAAACTCTTTGCCACAGTATTGGCACTCGAGTCTTTTCGCTATAAACGACGTCGTGTTTTTCGAGTTTACACTATCAGCCGTTGTGACTTCCGGGGAACGATTACCACCGCTGATAAGTTCGAAGCCGAACAGTTTTATTGTCTTGTCGGAGGACGAGCCTGAGGAGCTTTCGCCTGTACGAGACATTGTCGGAGATATATGTGTTTGTATGTATTCTGGTGGGTTTAATTAGCTTTAGGATATGTACGTAACGTAAATGATCTTCTTTATATAGCAAAAGGTAGAGAGACAGAGGGTGTTTGTTTAATAATTTGTAATTAATGATGCATTGCATCTGTACTATATATTTTACTACTAGAAGGGTTTTTTATATTAGTCATGAACAGCATCGAGTTATATTGTTTAGGGTTTTATAATAAAGTATTTGTTTGAATCTAAGGTGTGACGAGAAAATGATCTTGGAAAATAAACTCGATAGGTACTTATTTGTATATTACACTTAGCACGGAATATTTTTTATACAAAGATGCATGTGGATATCACGCGCCTGTATATATAAACGATATTGTATAATCAAACGAGATAGAAACATATTTATAAAGACTTAACTTGTCAACTTGTTTTATCTTTGTCTTATGCATAATACATTATACACATTTGCTTGAAATTAACAACCTGTGACCTTATAATATTGTGGAAATATACTTTCTGTTTAGTGCGTGTATAAATTAGTTGTTTGTGCGTGTATAAAATAGTTCGATTAAGTTGAGATATGCATAATTTTAAATTGTATATGAAAAGGGATGCAGCTATGAGCGATGACACCACTTGTGACAATCAATACAAAAGTTATATTCTAAGCTTAAAGAGAAGATTAAGATGTTCATATCATACTAGAAATACAACCAAAAGTCAAAGAAAGATATGAAGAAATAAAGCTAATCAATATAAGTATATAACCGAAAATATATGCATCCTCAAGGATAATACTTTGATTCCAAAAATAATTCTAAATTTTAATTATCCTTGGCACGCAATAACATAATATTATTTTACATCCAGCATCATTTTTTTGTATTAAAAGGTTCATTCATAACCAAACACAAATCAAAATGTCGTCCAGTGTTCTCATCTTACAAAAATAATCAGTCTATATATAAGTTATTCTTTGCCATGTATATTTATTATATGTTTTCAAATTCCCCATCAACTAAAGTTTGTGGCATAGAAAATTAGAGATATGATCATGGAGCATGGATTGAAGCTTCTTTATAGCTTATCGCAATGTTTTCCACATAAACCAAATCTCATTTGTCTAATTACCGTGAGAAAAGAAAGATAAAGCCTATATTGACCATGTTTAATGAATGCTAGTTAAATGATTAAATTAATAAGGAGAATTGCTAGTTGCCAAATGAAGGAATACAAGAAGTGGGCAATGATGCAAGCATCTACACTATACAACAAAATAGAAAAATATATTCCTAAGTCTAATCTTCAAAACAAGATCTTGGGCAAATCTTCATAAAGCATGAGAAGACATTATTTTAGACAGAAAAAAATATCATATTAGAAAAAGAGTATATATTATTCTATTTCAGGTGAATCAAGTCATAGGATAATCTTATTTTAATAAAATAGTTATAATGAAATGGCATTTGGTTTGGACAGTTGTTCCATTAAGACCCCACTGCTATGTAACTTAAAAGATAGATCAAGACAATTAATTGAAATAATAATAATTTATCGTTATTAGGTGTTGTAAAATGTGACTCGTACAACCTAAAGATCCCTGATTGGAGGACTTTCTTGCCACCAAGTGGTGTCGCATGCAATTAAAAGTTCTTTCCTCTTTCTCAGGTCTCTTATTTTATTTTAATATCTATTAACTAAGAGAACGACGAATTCCAAATAAGTATGCTGTCAACAATAATCTTATATTTATCCAATAAGATGTGGAATAATTTTAGCCCGTTATGTTTTTTTTTCTTTTCTTTTTTTCTAAAGCTTATTTGCGGTGGCTACTAGGTGGGTGGGTGGGTTGGTTTCTATAATATCGTGTATATCTTTATATTTATATCTCATATAACTACAAACTATTTCCACATTCTTAATTGTTATATTTATTTGTATTGACATTGAGCAACGTAACATCAGTACAACCCCATTACTGAAAAGGTTGCTAGTTTTCCTTGCGCCCGTAAAACTCACATTCCACCATGTTTTTTTTCTTTTTTTTTTTTTTTTTTTTCTACCAT